CCAAGTAGATAAGCTACGTCGTAAGTAGTTGAAATTGGTGATCCTGGGAGAGATGCTGGCTAAATACATTTGGGGTGTACCAGATACAGACGTGATGCTAAATGAGATCACCAAGACTCAGAGTGCACATGGAGAAGGGGTGCAGAACTGAACCCTGGGCACCCCACGTTAGAGGCTGCAGAGAGAGGAGGAGCCGGTGGACAGGAGAGCAGGAAGGTAGAGGTAGAGTACTGGAAGGTGGGAAGTTTACAAGGAAGAAAGTGACCAACTCACCAAACTCTACCATAGGATTGAAAACTGACCACAGGTTAATGGTTGCCTGAGGCCGGGGCGAGGGCACGGGAAGGGAAAGGGAAAGCGCATGAAGGGCACAAGAATTCTTTTGGGCCAGGGTGTGAAAACTGATTATAATGGTTGCATAATTCTGAGAATATACTAAAAACCACCGAACTGTACAATTTAAATTGGAGAACTGTGTGGTATGCCAATTATACCTCAGTAAAGCCATTTTAAAAAACTGACTGCTGGACTTAGCACATGGAAGTTACTGCTGACCTTGACCTTGAGCAAAGCGGAGTTCACAGTGGCGCAATAAGCAGCAAGGGCCTGGTGGAAAGACTCAAGAGGGCAAAGGACAGAAAGAGAGAAACGCGGCAACAGCTAAAGAGGGACCAACACAATGTTTTTAAGATAGGGAAATAAAATCATGTTTGTTTTGTTTTCTGTTAGGAAGGGTCTGGCAGGGAAGCAAAGATTGATAATGCAAGGCAAAGAAGAGCATGATCGCTGCCAGAGGGGGACAGCGAGGGTGCGCGAGGACTGACTGTGGAATCACACGACCAGTGGAAGGGAGGAAGGAAGGTAGACGTAGGTGCTTGTGGCGGTTCTCATTGCTTTAATTTATTCAATAATTAGGGAGCACAGGCCAGCACAGTGAAGAAAGTAGATGAAATAAGGAAATAAAGCACAACTGATGGGCAGCCCCGGGCCCGCCTGCTCTGTGCGGTGCAGTGCACGTGGGAAGGTGGGTCTAACGGGGCCGGGATCACGCACAGCTGCACTCGTGAGAAGCAACACAACATGGGACACGGCTTATATTGCTGAACACCAATATGTCACTTTATTATTTGGATTTTTTTCCCCATTTGTCACATACCTGTCTATGTTTACACAATGAGGGAAATCAACCAGCATTGGATGCAACTGACCAAATCAGCTGATAAGTCTGTACCCTCTTAACACATACCAATTCTTACTTGGCAGAGATATCTTTAATTCAATTCAGCCTCACGATTATTCTTAACATCGGTGTCAAGATTGTCACATTTTTAAATACAGATAGAATTGCCAGAAGTACATAATTATATATATACACACATACAGAAAAATACAAGACTAACTGGTTCTCCACAATATTTAATTTATACACTAATGTAACTATATGCAACTTTTGAGGACAGGTTAAGGGGTACAAGTAACTGTTTAGAGCAAGTAAGTAGTTTGGTCCAATATTATCTTAATGTAATGGTTTTTCGCTCCCTCCCTTTTATGTGACGACATACTATGACGTACAACACATGCACAATCATTCACTTATGAACAAATGAGTAAGACACCACTCAGACTGACATCTGTGTACCCAGAGGGTCGACCAACCACACACAACTAATAAGGCTATAATACAGCTATGCAGCATAAATGGTCAACACTGCTGATCCTAAAGTGAGCACCATATATACATCTGAATATAAAAAACCATTGAAAACCAAACACATACGGGTTAGTTAAAAGGTGCCATTCCAAGGCTATACATAATCACAGGAAAAAGTATTTACATTACTTGGAAAACAGCTGCAACAAAGAGTTTATTGCCAATGCCCTTTAAAAACTTCTCTCCTACGTTTACTACAGATGTTACGCTCACTGTCTATGTGAACCACACATCTTATTTCTGGCCCTTTATAAGATCCCTGCTCAAGAATTTCAAGCAAATATGTTCTATGGCTTCACCCACACATCTATTCTCGTTGCTTTCAATTATAAATATCACAATGAACTAGAGCTGTAGCTTAAAATGTATCTAGCCTAGGTCTAGAAAGTAAAATAAGTATTTTAAGTATCATTTTTACTTAGTTTAGTAAGTATACTGTGAAATTCAGAGCTCTGAGTAAAATATATTTATCCTACAGTAGCAGAGTCAGTGTGTACTTGAAGAAACAGTGCTCCAAGCAATGCAGTTCTTTGGTGATCTGCCCACTCTCTGAATTACATGCCCAGATGCTTCCGTCCAGGGCTGCAGCGACATGACGGGAGGCCGCAGAGTGTGGAAGGGCCCAAGGTCCTAGCCACGTTCTATCTCCGGCGTTGCTAAGCACTGCTTTTAAGATTCCCAGGGCACAGCATGAAAACACAGCACCTGGCCCTTTCCAAAATTAGCAATCTGCAATATACTGTGTCCTATGAGATAAAATGCCACAAGAGATGATTATCCGGTCAAAAGTGTCTTTGTACAGGAACAGGTTAAAGCAAGAGTTCTTTGATTACTGTTTTGGCAAGAAAAGGCAAAGTGAAAAAACACTTCCAGAAAAAAAAAGTTACAAAGCAGGCTTTGTGCATTTTCGTTTGCTGTATGTGTGAATTTTACCCTTTTATGTGTTTTTGATCAGCCAATTTTCACAGCTAGCTGAGCCAAAGGATGTAATAGAATGAAAATAACAAAAGAGATAACCTAGTTACCAAATTCCTAAAAAACAAATCCCAGTAAGTTTTATTTTAATTTACAGGTTTTGACTTTGCCGACATCTGTGTGCACCTTAGCTTCTGTATTGGGCCCTATAGTTTCTTCCAGCCACACGGCCTAAAGGAAACTGTGGTGTTGCCCTACAGGAAGGAATTTACAGAGCTTTTTTTTTTGTTGTTGTTCCAATAGACAGACATACACTCTTTGAAGCAGAGTTAAGACATCATCGATTCACTTTATCATCGATTCACTTTATCACAGGAAAAAATGAGATTGTCTGCTTGTAATTTATCACTACAGGGGAAGCTGCCTTACAAATCTAAGTACTTTATCTCACCTATTACAAAAACAAGAAAATCTTTTTCAGTTAATTTTTAAGAGCCCAAACTTGTTTCACACTATAGCTTAAGACAAACAGGTGTGGGTGTGTTCAAACCATGGTTTCAAGGTTGTCAGTGCGGACACTCACTGTCCTCTGCTCTGCACAGGCCCCGGCGGGTCGCTAGCTTGCTCCAGGCCTGTGGCGTCACGGCGTTATTGCTTTGGTTCTGTCTCAGACACCACAGAGGTGCCTCAGAGCACAGTTTCCGTATCACAGAAGGTCGGGACAGGAATTTAGATTTCTCACAAGGAAACAAAAGCATTTTTTTCTCTCTCTAGGTTAAGTGCAAGGATATCAAATTTCTAAGTGCTCCATTTATATTAGGTTCCAAATATACACCTTAATTTATCCTGATCTCATCCACATTGTTGTATAAACGTAAAAATTACACAATAGGCTTTTCGGCTGGAAAGAAAAGCAGTGTCTAGCAGCATGCACAAAGACCATGCATTGTCACATCGTCAGGCGAACAAATGGAAAGGTAATAAATAATTGCTCCTAACGCCCACTTTAAAACAGTAAAACCGAAGGGGGACGGGTGGAGCGAGCCGATCTCCACCGCTCTGAGCAGGCGCGTGCCAGGGGCCGGGCGGGCCGCGGTCAGATGACGTGGCAGCAGCTGGCCTGGCTGGAGGCGCACAGCAGCCCCTCCTTGGGGTTCCGCTGGATGTTCACAGAGATGGTCTTTTCACACAGAGGTAGCTGTAGCACGTTATTTTTCAAGTTCTTGCTCTTTATGCGTTCCAATTCAGTGGTGGTATCCGCCATGTGGTGAGAGAAAAACTTTATGCTGCCCACCGCAGGGGCCTGCCCCGCGTTCCCTGTGGAGCTGATACACATTTTCCACGTGGATTTCTCCTGCACTTTCACGCTGGAGAACGACAAGCCATTCTGTGGATCAATAATGTACTTAGTGCTCCCATGAAGCTGGGAGCCAAGGCAGAGACTCATGAGTTTCAGGCTCTCCACGAGCTCCCCGGCGCTGCGCGAGGCCAGCTGCATGGAGTTGCCGGGGCCGGCGCAGCGGCGGGTGCTGCCCGACGTGCTGGTGGGGTTGCCGCCCGAGCCGCTGGAGGGGCTGCCCCCGCCAGCATTGTTCTCGCTGGGGCTGGCCTTGTCTGCCCCCCCACTGCTGTTGCTCGGCTTGCCCTGGCCCCCGCCATCCCCCTCACTGCCCGGGGGCCCCTCGCTGCTATCCCGGCGGTGCCAGGAGTAGGTGAAGCCACTATCTTTATCGAGCCGCCGCCGGCTTTCGGAATCATCATCACTGGTCTCTGAACTACTGCAGCTGGAGCCCCGGCCCTGACTTTTCCTCCGGTGGTAGCGTTTGTGAACTGTGCCTGGGGAAGCGATATTCATCTTTAACCTGCTCAATTTGGGAGGCAGATTCTCATCCATGTCAAACTCGTCGTCAGATTCCCCTTCCTCAAAGATCTGGTTGAGCACAGGAGCGCTCTTCCTAGATGTCAGGCGGTTGGTCACAGATGGCTTCCGGCGCAAAACCACTTGAGTTGAGAGGGACATGGGTTTCTTGTCCTCCTCATCTTCCTCTTCATCTTCTTCCACCCTGAACAGACACTTCCGCCCACTGGCCGTGGGTTTTAAGCTTGCAGGCGGCACCGTGGTGAGTGCTGGCCCAGCCAACTCAGGAAGGTCATCTTTCTTAGCTGAGTCACACAGGCCTTTGCTCCTGTGGCCATTGAGGACATTGTCGGCAGCCCGAGCAGGAGACTGAGGGACAGTCGCGTGGGACAAAGGAGTGGCCGTGAGGTCATCCTCAAGGTCCTGGGGTACGTCAATTTTGGTTGGCCATGATTGCCTATGTAACAGATTGGGGGGAAAAAGCCATGTAATCATATGCAGACGTTAGTAAATTACATCATATAAAACTTACTAGGACAAAATCCACAGATTTTAAAAAAAAGAAAAAGAAGAGAAGAGAAGAGAAGAGAAGAGAAGAGAAGAGAAGAGAAGAGAAGAGAAGAGAAGAGAAGAGAAGAGAAGAGAAGAGGCAGCAGCATTGCAAACCCATTCGATACCTTGTGAACACCAGCAAGGATACCAGAAGGGCAAAAGTGGTTTTGAAACATGGTTCAGGCTGGGGCTTACTGGCCAAATAACAACGTCATCATAGCTGTCAGAAAATGGGGCAAAGAATATCTCCATATTTTCTTACAAAAGCTTTATACTACAAGATAAATATTTTTAAAAAGCACAAGGGGGTTATTGCCAAAGCAAAACCTGAACACCATACATGTCTGATTCCTTTGGTTCTTAGATCACTACCTTTAAGGGTGTATTTACTAATCAAATTCACCTGAAATTTCCAATGTTCCTGATTTTACATGATGGTGTAAGAGCTCGATGTTTATATAAAATAAATAGAAATAGCTTAATGGATTTAAATATGAGAATACTGAAAAGAAAAATCATGTATAACTGGCATACATAAATCTCTGCTTCTCTAATTAAAAAACTAAGTTAAACATAAATATTTATAAATGCCCACAAAAGAGTACTGGATAACAAAATTCATTATTATTTAAATTTTGATTTTATCCCCCAATCTGGAGTCACCCAAGTGACAAGAATATTATTTGGTAGCCGATGAAAACAACTTTTGAAAATGAGGCTCTCAGCCAGGCTCAGTGGCTCACCCCTGTAATCCTAGCACTCTGGGAGGCCAAGGCGGGAGGATCACTTGAGCCCAGGAGCTGGAGGCTGTAGTGAGCTATGACCCCTGCAGGGTCGTCACCCAGAGATTTGGTGAGACTCTGTCTCAACCAAAAAAAAAAATTAAAAAAAAAAGGGAAAATGAAGCTCTTTAGCCTCTGTTTTAAATAAACATCTTTGAATTTCAACTGTCTTCTCTGACCAGGGGAATAGTCATATACTTCTAATAATCAATAAAGTACATATAGAATTTTACTAGTGGCCACTGTACGCAGAATAACTACTATACTTGTTACATGCAAGCTTTCTTATATTTTGCACAGGTCCCCTTTAATAGAATAAACCTGTTCAAAAATGTAAGTTTGAAGCTAAGAAGCAGTATTCCTTAAGTGGTCACACTGAACAGTGGCTGATAGTGTGTGATCACACCCTGCTTAGAGTAAGTATATTAACTTCTTGATTTTCATTTCAGAATTATCTGGCTGTAGTCTGTCAGATGCCGGCCGTCTATCTGGCCCCTCCCTAGAGAGTTCTAACTGTGCCCCTCAGCTCTCTAGGACAGGCTGCAGGAAGACTCTGCAGTCTGCAGACAAGCCCAAGGTAGTCACAAGAAATGTAGATCTGAAATAAATCTAAACGCCTATGCCCCTCTCAGACCTCATATTCTTCCATACAAAAACGTATCAGGGCAGCCCTATATTTATTCAAATTTTTAAGAAAGTAAGAGGCTACTACTATATTTGAAACAGAACCAGTTCCAGAATTTAAGAAACCTTAAGCTACTCTGACCCAACAAGCCCCCAATACCGTATCACCTCACACTGCAGGATGCTATCTGTACCAACACCACCCCTCTGAGCTAAGCCCACCTTTTACCCACATTCCTGAAGCGGCGTCTTCCACCTCATTCTCTAGGGGAGTCCTTACGTTCTCACTCAATTCCAGGCCTAGGACTCTGCCCCTGGACTCCAAAACCACAGACAAGATCCCTGCTTTGTGCCCACCCATCTGCTTGCAGAGACACCCCCGTCCAGCTGGGGTGGATATCGGTCTCCTGTGAACCACCCGTCTCAAGGGGCCTGTCACCAATTTTTCCTGGATCATCTACCTGTCCTCAGGGTATGCATCTGTTCTCCACGGCTGGTTCTTCCTGGCCCTACCTTCCCAAACCTGGCCAACTGTTGCTGCAAATACCAGTCTCCTGACTCAGTCCAGGTGTCTGCCTTCCAGGGCATCCTGACTCCAAAGCATACCCACCTACAGGACCAAGTACGGTCCAGGGTCTTGGCAATAAAGTTACAGTGACAACAAGGAGAAGGCAAGTCAGCAGACACTGCCCCCACCAGTGGGCCCTGTGCCACAGGAAGAGAGGCCCTCGTAGCAGCTCAAGGACAGCCTTTATGAGGCAAAAGGAAAACAGCTTGGAAGGCTCTGGTTTAAAGAGCTACTGTTGGCTTCTTAATTTCTATAATAAAATAAAAACAATTTAATTCATTTACATATTGTATCAGCTTACAGTTGAGTTCTGAGCTGTTTGACCCAACAGAAAACAGCTCAAATCTACATATCCTTTCTCCAAAAGTGTGGTAGCTCCAGCCTCGGCGCACCTGGCATGCGCCGCCTGCTCTGAGGTTACTCAGTGCTGGGGGCTCGGGTCAGGACTAGGCTGACTAGCCTCTCAGTGTCCGCCTCTGGTCTGTCTCACTCCAGAGAGCCCCTCGTTCCCTGGGGCTCAGTCCTCTGCCAGGCAGATACTAGACAGTGTGCCTAGTTTTCGTCACAGAGGAAGACATCCAGGGTACAAATGAAGTTACTAAATTCATTTTCTGGTTAAACTAGACTTCTAAATCATTATTCTTTGGCAAGCTGGGAATGTTTTCCTCTCTCTACTCTGTCATTCCACCCAAGCAACAAACCACACGTGGCAAGCTGACTGCAAGGTAATTTAAAATCTAAATGGTTTTCTTACTCTTTTACAATAATAATATTTATTATTATTTACACACATACATTCATATATATTTGGATACACAGATAGAGATTTATTAAAATTGGGAGCACCCTTCTGTTTTTAAACTACTGCAAATCCATGGATTATTCTATCTGAATGAATACAGACAAATTCAAATAAATTTCATAAATAATGAAAAAAGTAAACCACTTCCATGCTGTGATTTTAAGAGGAAAGCTACTATGGCAGAAGGAAAAGAAAAGCAGGAAGGAGGGGAGAGGAGGAGACAGAGGAGGAGGCGGAGAGTGGCGCGCTCACTGCTTCAGTGAGACGGCAGTGGTGGACGACATTCCCAACAGTGACAGCAAACACACGGTGCCCAGGCCTGGGTGCTCTACATGTATTAATTAATTTGTCCCTCACCACCACCCCATGAGGTAAACAGCATTATTGCTCTCATTTTACAGATCGGGCAGCTAAGTCACAGAGAGGTTAAGTGACCTCCCAGGGTCAAGCAGCTAGTCAACTAACTGATCCCACGGCCCATCCCCCGAAATCCTGAGATAACATCATGGCATAGAAATGCCCTACTTATTTTTTTAAATTATTTCAAATAACTGAGGGAAAATTTGGCCTTGTTCTTGGCATGAATAACCAAAAAAAATAATAATAATAGATAAATAACACATTAATACACGCTGGATTGGGAAGAATTTAATGAAAATAACGGCAGACACTCTGGCTTGAGGCTGCCTGTCCAAATGTGTTTTCCTGACCAAACAACAGACACAGCCTCTCTCCCCGCTGAGCCCAGGCAGGGAAGGCATCCTGCCGACGAGGAACCAGACCCCCACCGCCTTCCCAGTGAAGCCGTCATCACTGTATTCTCTTGCCACACACAGTTAGGAGGCATTAAAAAAAAAGTTCACTATTTTAAAATGTTAACTTACTAAAATCAGTGAAGATTTTTTTCTCACCTAAACTGGGCCTTGATATTGCTAGGGCTTGCAGATCTGGTCTGTATTTCTTTCTCTTGCTTTTCTCTCAGGATCCTCTCAGCAAGCAAGAAGTAAGTGGCTGTAATGTGGTTATACCTGTTGGTTTCCAGGGCTCTAAGAAAAACAAGGTGAGGGTGAAAATAAGCTACATCAGTAGGTTTGTTTTTTACCAGCAAAACTGATTTTTAAAAAAGTACAAGCAAATGCAATTCAATGACTAGGAATCTTTGAAATTATGCAAAAAAGCAAACCAGAAAAAAACCAAACTGATAGTTATTTAGGTCACCCTTGAAATTGTACAAAACAGCTGCATAAAGATGTTCGTATTAGTGAAAAAAATCCTAAATGCTGATAGCAGCTGAGCTGGATGTCAGTTTTAGATGCATAAAAACAAGTAATGAAGCTTCTAAGAGTGTATACATTATCCAAGAATTTAATTTGTATGTAAAGTGTTTATATTTGTTAAACTGGCTTACTGCTTCCATTAGAAGTATAAAATGGAGACGAGGTCTATGTTACATGAATGGGCACTAAAGCACTAATACAGTCAGAAAAAATTAGGAAATATTTTTATTTTTACACTCCCTTTGCATTTATTGGCATTCAAGCACTATAGAATTATCAAAGCAATTGAGAGCACTCCATTATTAACCTTTTTGAATAAAATCAGTGTATTTATCCATCCATTTGAAGTAATGCTCACTGAGTACCTAGTCTGGCCAGGCACTGTGCACGATGCCCAACAAGGCCCAGGCTCTGCCTGCTCTCCTGAAGCTGGCGTTTCGTGGGACATATGGAGAGTGCTTCTGAGGACCCCACAGGCCTTAGTAATTCATAACTGCAGTTTTCAGAAACGTCCTGTAGTTAGTGAAAATGCTCACACAACGAACACTTAAGAAAGAAGCAATGGCAGAGATCTCTTTTTACAAACTGTATAGTGGGCCACGGCCAATGGGTCGGGGGCAGGCTGAGGCATGAGATTTCAAAGGAAGAGTGCAAGGTGAAATTCAGGGGTAGAATGCTTCTCAGAGGGGTTTCTTCAGCTGAGTAGTGGATCAAATAGTTGGCTTGTCTGTGGGAAGTATATTATAGGATAAATGTGTGTTTAAACCCAGGAATCACCTCTCATAATGTGAGCAGAGGGCAAGTGAGCTTTGCTGAGGACTGGTCTCCCAGCCTCTATCATGTCTGGAAAGTGGGAGATGGGCAAACCAGAGTCACCAGAACCATTTAAATGCACTCCCCTTTGGATTTATAACTGAATTTACATTAATTAAATAGTTCTATATGATACCACTGCATGTATGCATGTATTTATTTAAGCTAAGAACATCAGGCCAATCCAGGGAGATGCAAACAGCCTTTTAATCACACAAAAATGAAATACCATTTGGACTTAAATCAAAATTAAGAATCTGGGTTTCTTTTTGTAAATCTTTCTTTCCAGTGCCCTCAATCACCTAAAGATATGTGTCTTTTAAACAGACACCACCCTTCTCAGGGACCAGAGCCTCTCACTGGTATGCGTGTGAAGTGCCACACACAGCAGAGCCTGTAGGTCTAGGCTGCATCCTCCTCTTCCCCCAGGTCACATTCCACAGCCGGGCCAGTTTCTGGTGATGGAAAACCCTTTTTGCCTCCCGAGCATACTCTCTTTCCAACCTACCCAATTGTTTCATTTAACACTTACAGAACTTTTGACTTCCATTCATGGAAGTGCTCTATATTTTTAAAGTCAGGACTTCTTACAGAAATTAATCATTATTAGAACAAAGCAACTGCATCTTTACTCTGTATTATCTTTGATTCCAAACTGCTTAGGTTATTAAAAACTGGCTTTGGTTTTAAAGGATTTAATGAACATGTATAACTTACAAGCTCTAGGTAGCTGTGGCAGGGGGTCTAAAGCATCAGACAGTAAATATTTTAGGCTTTGTGGGTCCTCTGGTCTCTCCAACTACACTGTCATTGTAACACAATGCAACTATTGACAATACCAATGGGCATGGCGGTGATCCAATAAAACTTTACTTATAAAAACATGTGACTAGTCCCATTTACCAAATCCTGATTGAGAGGACTGCAGGCACGTGGTGCTGCCCTGTTCTCCCTATTCTCCCTACTCGCTGTGGAGACCACAAGGAGACACAGGAATGAAGATACTGCTACCAAGTATATACTGCTATACAAAACAAGGTATTCCAATCCACCCCTTTATAAAGAAAGGCCACAGCACTCAGTGACACCACCCATGATGGATTACATGTTCACTAATACAAAAACAAACAAAAAATCAATAAAAACCTAAGTGTGAGGCACTGTGCCAAGAACTCTAGAGATAAATGACAACTCTTGCCCATTGGGAACTCTATCCATTACACAATATCCAAAGGCTCTAGAGTAAGTAAAGAAGATTGCCCATTCCAAGCATCCTAAACCTCAGGCCCCCGTACTGATGAGCACTGACTTACTCTACAATGGCGTCTCGATCTGCTATGTCCCCAAGCACCATCCGCTGAATGATGCTGTTGTGCTCCTCTTCTGAGAGATTTTTGTATGACACAAGGGGAATGTTATACTTTGTGGCTGGTGAAGGATCCACTCCCTGAAGCCAAGGATGGTTTTCAATCTCTTCTAAAGAGGCCCTTCTCTTGGGATCTCTCTGTAGCATCCGTGTGATTAGGCTGCAAAGGAAGGTAAGTACATTGTTAAAGCAAACTACTTGCAAGGATTAGTAATAGTGGATCATTTTACTAATAACAATTATTTCCTACACCTATACCATCTATTAAATTAGGTTCCCTAGTGGTCGAGGGGAGGGCAGAAGGCAATAATAAAAATTCAGTGCCATCACATTCATAAAATAATTTGTAGTGTTTGAAAAAAATTACTAAATTATTGGATGGTAGTTAAAATATTCTAAGGGTTTTGTGTTGTTTAGAAAGAGAATAAAATAAAGATTAACTATAGATTTGTATATTAAATATACAAACATGTATGTGTTAAAATAGGTAGGAAAATCACTAAAATAAGACTGTAACTATCCAGCTAGTTGAGAGGGAAAAGTCAAATGAGGGGGAAAAGATAAACCTCCATCAATTCCAAAGAAGAATGGGATAAAAAGAAAAAAACAAAAAAAGACAAACAAAAAGCATATAAAAAGATGGCATAAATATATGTACATCTATGAGTGATTTCAATAAGTGGAAATGGAATAAGCTCTCCATTTAAAAGACAAAAATGATCACAGGGGATGAAAGAAAAACTCAGCCCCAGGCTATTAAGAAAGAGGTACTTAAAACCAGGACAATGAAAGGTTTAAAGCAAAAGAATGGAAAACTATATAGCACACAAATGCTAACCAAAAGAAGACTGGCATGGCTAACTAAAAGTAGACAAAACAGATTGATTTTAAGGCAAAAAAGCATTACTAGAGATAAAGAGGGTCATCACCTCTTTGACACAAACTGATACAAAGGTTCAACTGGCCAGGAAGATATAGCAGTTTTCAACTTATTTTCACCTAATATTAATAACATTGCCTCAAAACACTCAAAGCAAAAACTGACAGACCTATAAGAATAAACAGTAAATCCACCATCACAGTGGACAAATACCTCAGTAATTGATAGAATACGTAGTGAAAAAAACTAAGAATGTAAATAATTTTGAACAGCATAATCAAAAAGCTTGATCTCAAGGATTTATGTAGAACTCTGATTACAACAACTGGAAAATATACATTCTTTTATAGAACAAAAAGACTATTTATAAGAAGAGGCCATAAGCAAGCCTCAACAATTTGGGGAAAAAAACAAAACAAAACAAAAAAAACCAAGAAAACCCTGGTACCACATAGACTATATTTCTTAGACTACAATGCTATTAAGTTAGAAATCAGTATCAAAAAGCTAATTTGAAAAATGCCATTCATTGTGAAATTTAAAACACCCATGTAACAACTCACTTATCAAATAAATCAATGAAAACCAGAAAATAATTATTAGAACTGAATAACAAAAGGACTATAAATCAAAACTAGTGGATGCAGCTAAAATGGCACTAGAAGGCAATTTATAAACTTTTTTTTTTTTTTGAGACAGAGTCTCACTTTGTTGCCCAGGCTAGAGTGAGTGCCGTGGCGTCAGCCTAGCTCACAGCAACCTCAAACTCCTGGCTCAAGCAATCCTTCTGCCTCAGCCTCCCAAGTAGCTGGGACTACAGGCATGCGCCACCATGCCCGGCTATTTTATATATATATTAGTTGGCCAATTAATCTTTTCTATATAGTAGAGACGGGGTCTCGCTCTTGCTCAGGCTGGTTTTGAACTCCTGACCTCGAGCAATCCGCCCGCCTCGGCCTCCCAGAGAGCTAGGATTACAGGCATGAGCCACCACGCCCGGCAATTTATAAACTTTAATATTAATATTATTATAGGAAAGGAAAATTTCTGAGCTGAGTATCTAACAAAAGAAAGAAAAAGAACAGAATTAGCCCATGGAAGTAGGTGGAAGCAAATAATACAAATAAGATAAAAAAAGAAAATCAATAAAACAAAACAAAAAACGTCATTGTAAATTAATAAAAGCAAAAGGTAGCAAACTTCTGGCAAGAGTGATCAAGACAAAAATAAAAGAAGGCAGCAACTGTCAATATTGGAATGAAAAAGGGCAGCAACCCCACAGGTCTTATAGACTTAAAAGTATACTTGAGGCCAATACATTTGAAAAATTAGACAAAATGGACAAGTTCCTTACAGAACACACCTTAGCAAAACTGACCCAAGTAAAAAAAACTAAATGGTCTGATCATTATTAAAAATAATTCCTCTTTCAATCTCGATTTAAGAATTAAAAAAAAGAAGAAAGAAAAAAAAAATTTTTTTTTTTGAGACAGAGTCTCACTTTGTTGCCCAGGCTAGAGTGAGTGCCGTGAAGTCAGCCTAGCTCACAGCTACCTCAAACTCCTG